TAATTTTCATAAAAACACTTATGGAACCCTTTTTTACTTAATATTTTCTTATTTTATTCTGTAGCTATCATTTGCTAGAATGTAAGCTCTGTGAGAGTAGAAACCTTATTTGTCATGTTCACTGCCACCTTTCTCTAGTACCTTAAGGTAGTATCTGTCACATGTTGCTCATAAATATGAATGAACCAAATTGGTGGATGTTTGGTTTTAGATTGAATATTATATTAAATGGAGACTAAAAATCTAGTATCTACCAAAAATAGATAAAATTATTTTTATGACTTAATGTTGGCTATTTCTTCGTTTTCTGCTTTAAAAAAAGTTAACTGGCTTATTTCTATACTTTTTGAATTTTTATTTTGTTTTTGAAAGATGAAATAGTTTTTCAGCTGTCATTCAAAAACACTTCTCTATAAATAATTTGTTGTGGTATGGATCGTCTTTATGCCCCAAATGAAAACCAGATGGCTTTACTTGTAGCTAGATATTCTCACTGTCTTATTTTTAAATTGGCTTTTGAAATACTGAAGACACATTTAAGTGCTATAAAAAAATTGTGGTTATATGGAACTAATGGAACTAATGGAAAACATCTTGAGGTGAATTTATACAATTTTTATTTATTACTTTATGCTTTTGAAATCACTTTTCCTCCATATACTTTCTACCTTTAACCAATCATCCATTATGTGTGGAAATGAAATAATACCCAATTAAGAATAAATACACTTTAAAACTGTATAGTGGTCAAAACCATTATTCATCATTAACCTGAATGATAAACTCAGTGACTTTCAGTAGTATGCACATCTAATTTCTACTAACCCCTGAACACATACCTTCTGAATATATGTATCAGAGGCTCCGAAACTGTTCTGTTTTAAATAATTTTTAAAAGTTTATTTTAATATTTATTTTAATTTTTAGGAAATCCAGTTTAGCATTTTTTTCTTTTACGAATAATGCATTTGGTGTCGTGTCCATAAAACCTTTGCTTAACTCAGTGTCACAAAGATTTTCTCTTATTTTTTTTCAAAGAAGTTTTATAATTTTAGGTTTTACATTTAGGTTCATGATTCATTCTGAAAGATCTGACCATTTGTATATAAGGTGTTAAGTATGTATCAAGGTTCTTTTTTTTTTGCATATGAGTGTTTAGTTATTCCAGAATCATTTGTTTAAAAAAAAACTAGTCTTCTACACTTAATTGTCTTTGCATCTTTGTAAAAAAAAATCAATTGACCATGCATGTGTGAATCTATTTCTGAACTCACTATGTGTCCATCCTTTTGCCAATGCCAAAATAAATTTACTAGTGTAAGTTGATAGGTAGCATGAGTCCTTCAACTTTGTTCTTTTCCAAAGTGTTTGGCCATTCTAGTTCCTCTGACTTTCCACGTAAATCTTTGAATCAACTTGTTGATATCAGCAAAAAGTCTTGCGAAGATTTTGTGTTTAAAATTATAGATCAGTTTGAGAAGAATTAATATCATAATGATATTGAATAATCTAATTCATGAGCATATTGAATTGCACTATTTATGTCTGATTTTTTTCATTGGTGAAAAAATCTATTTTTCAGTATATAGATCATACACATACTTTATTAGATTTATACCTATTTTTGGAGGTACTGGAATTATTTCTGTTTTTAAAATTTCTATTTTCAATTTTTCATTTCTAGTATTTAGAAATATAAATGATTTTTGTATGTTGACCTTGTATTGGTTCTAGGAGGTTTTTTTTGTAGATTCTGTGGGATTTCCTTTGTAGAGGATCATGTCATCTGTGAGTAGAGACAGTTTTACTTACTTTCTAATCTGTATGCCATTATAGATGTTAACAGATTAGAAGATATAGGTCATTGAGTTGATCAAGTGACAACTTGAATCTTGGAAAAATTTTCCAAATGCTAGCTTGTTTTATAATTATTTTTTTATTTCCATAAAAGTAAAGTGTAAAATGCAAAAAAAAAAAAAAAAAATCTGGTTATTTTTGTTTCCTCATTTTTTTGAATTTAGGATACATGGGAATCTACTGTATATTAAATATAAGATTTACTGCATATTTTTAAGACATATATAAAAGTATATAAATTTTGAGACATGCAGAATTTAGGGGAAGATTATTACAGAAATCTCTACATTTCTTGAGACATTATGTAGTAAAGTAGATATATAAAAAAGGCAAACATCTATAATTTTATCACCCAGAATTAACAATCATTAACATTTATTTATTTTGCATTTGGTCTTTTTCTTCCAAGTTATAAAATTTTGTATTAATAGTTAAAATGCAAATTCTCTTAAACCATCACTCTTAGTTCTGTTTCATGGAATTTACTTGATGCAACTACTGTTGCAAGTTTGGTGGTATTTTTCTGGTTCCCTTTTTATTCTTGTAAACACATGTGTACATATACATACATATGTATGGCATTGAGGCAGGCAGACTGGTTGGTTTCCTGTTTTGATGTGGTCTGAAGGAGGGAAGCAGAGGCCCCTTTGCTCTAGCTGAGGCTTGCCTAAAGCCCCTTATTCAAGCTGTGGCTTGCTGAATTTCTAGCCAATTAGAAGCAAGAGACCAAAAACCTGCTAACCACAGTTTCTCCTTTAGAGGGCTAGGGACTTTCCCAGAACCCCTATAGGCCCAGTTAGGCTTAAGCTCCAATTTAAGGAGCTTAAGTTAGGCTAAAGCTCCAACTTCATGCTTTGACATAACCCTTCCCTTTAGAAAAGCCCAATAAAACGAAGCCCCACACTATCCTCAGGGAATAGCCTGAACTTTTCCTTTCTCTGTGCTAGCTCCCTTGTGCACAAGCTAAATAAACTTTTTTTCTTTGTTGCTATGTCTGGTGGTCTCTCTTGATTTCTATCCTGGGAGATAGATTACAATAACCCAGGGATGTTGGTAACAGTATGGCTTTGATTTGTATTATATTTATATGGTACTGTGTTATATATATTCTGCACTGTTCTTTTGTCTTTTTAACTTAATATTGTTTTTGAGGTCTCTTTTGATACTCTAAGTTATTCCTTTTTAACTGTGATATAGTATTCCATCATGTTTTATTATCCATATCCATTGTTAGAATATATCTAGGTTGTTTGGAAAGAATGTTTTGCTATTGCAAGCATTGCTCTGTTGTACCTGTGACAAACATTTTCTTCATTATGATCAAATTACTGAACCAATTTATGGTCCCAAGAGATGTGAGAAATCTTTATTTTTTTCTTTTGGATAAGAGGTATCCAGATTTTATTAATGTGTACATGAGGAGTGATTACCCCAGATGTGAGAAATCTTGTTTACCCATATCCTCCTAATAAGTGATATTTTCAGACTTAAAACATTTTTGTCAGTTTGGTGGTTGGAAAACTGGGCTCTTGCTTTGTTAATATATATTCCCCTCATTACCAGTATGATTGAGTATATATTTAATGACCATTTAGATATCTTCATCTGTGAAGTGCCTGACTGCTCTATCCTTTCCCCATTTGTAGGAGTCCTTTATATATTCTAGATACTAAAATCTATTATATATGTTGCACATATTTTCTTCAAGTCATTTGTAATTAACTATGTGATTTTTTTGTTATTACATAGAAATCTTTGTGCCTTTTTTTCTTTCGTGGTCATTCTTATTAGTCTTTGCAAAGAATCAGCTTTTGGTTTGGGGTTTTAATTTATTTTTTATTTATTTGAGACAGAATCTCACTCTGTCGCCTGGGCTAGAGTGCTGTGGTGTCAGCCTAGCTCACAGCAACCTCAAATTCCTGGACTCAAGCAATGCTCCTGCCTCAGTCTCCCGAGTAGCTGGGATTATAGGCGCATGCCACCATGCCTGGCTAATTTTTTCTATTTTTAGTAGAGATGGGGTCTCGCTCTTGCTGAGAGTGGTCTTGAACTCCTGACCTCAAGCAATCCTTCCTCCTCAGCCTCCCAGAGTGCTAGGATTACAGGCCTGAGGCACCATGCCCGGCCTGGATTTTGTGTTTTTAAATGGGAACGAAAGAAGTAGAGTATAGCTAGCATCTGGGGACATGCACTGTGATAGTGTGCCTGTTTAAATGACTTGTCAACTATCGTGTGTTGAAACAAAAATTATGGAGTGTCATAGTTATAAATTATTAGCTGCCTTTACAAACTTATAATTGTTAATGATGTAACTATTCATGATTCATAATTTTTAATGGTACTGGATTACCTTTTTCTGTGAGTCAGAATATATGGTTTATATTTTTGATAAAATATAATTAAGTTTGTTTAATTATGGGATTAATCTTTAGTGGTCATCTGGCACAGTCTCCACTATTTTCCAGGCAGGAGTAATGTCCTCTGTAATGATAACTGATGAGAATCCATTGAGGAAAAGGGAAAAAATTGCAGATATGTTTTCACGAAAAATTTATACATATTGTAGATAAGGCGAGTTTTCACTTATGTTATTTTTAACAGCTGTGAAGTTATTTATATGTTTTTGTTTGTAGTTCATTTCACTTAGGTCTTCTTACAAACAGATTATTTAGTATATATTAGTTCTTGTTATTAGTACTGTTCAAGTTGTGAAGATTAAATTCAGAATTGGAAGTTTGGAGCAGTTTATTATGCTTTATAAAGATAAGTAATTCTTACTTTTGGCTGAGAGTATGGGATTAAATCACATTTTCAAGTGTGATTACCAGATTCTAGGTTGGAATTTTTTCTTTTGATTCCCGCTAAACATTGTCAAAAAATGGAATTCTGAGATGTAATTACATCCACAAATATTCATTGAACACTTATTGTTCTGGGCTTTAATTGGAGTTTTGGATATTAGGCCCAAAGTTAGAATGAAGAATAGCTTAATCCTTGTTGAGATAATGTTGGGAATTGTGAGATGAAGAATTTGTTTCCTTTCATGTTTTAGTCAGAAACATCAAAATTGTTGCCTTTGGAAAAAAGTGGAAGCAGAAAACTTTTTTCTAGATATTTGATCATTTGTTTTTACATTATTTTAGGTTTCCAGTAATTATCTACAGGAATCGCCATGACCCCAGCTCTGAGGGAGGCAACAGCAAAGGGTATCTGCTTTTCATCTTTGCCAAGTACCATGGAGTCTGACAAGATGCTATGCATGGAAAGTCCAAGAACTGTAGATGAAAAGCTAAAGGGAGATGCTTTCTCTCAGATGCTGGGATTTCCGACTCCCGAGCCTACTCTTAATACTAATTTTGTGAATTTAAAACATTTTGGCTCTCCTCAGTCTTCAAAACATTATCAGACAGTTCTTTTAATGAGTTCTAATTCTACATTAAATAAATACAATGATAATTATAAACAAAAAAAATTGGGGGAGCCCAACTGCAATAAACTGAAAAACATACTGTGTAATGGCAGCAACCTTCAGCTCAGTAAAATCTGTCATTCTCATTCTGAAGAGGTCATCAAAAAGGAACCTTTATCAGATACCACAAGCCAGTGCATGAAAGATGTACAAATTATTTTGGATTCAAATGTAACCAAAGACACTAATATAGATAAAGTACAACTGCAAAACTGTAAATGGTACCAAAAGAATGCACTTTTGGATAAAGTTACTGATGCTGAGATTGAAAAGAGTTTATTGCACTGTGCTCAAAAGAAAATTGGACCTGGACACTCAAATGTGCCTATTAGTTCTTCAGCTGCTGAAAAAGAGGAGGAAGTGAATGCTCGTTTACTTCATTGTGTAAGCAAACAGAAAAGTTTACTTAGCCAGGCTAGAAGAACTCAGAAACACTTGCAGATGCTCCTGGCAAAGCATGTTGTTAAGCACTATGGTCAGCAAATGAAATTTTCTATGAAACATCAACTCCCCAAAATGAAGATCTTTCATGAACCTACCACAATTTTGGGTAACAGTTTACCTAAATGCACTGAAATTAAACCAGAAGTCAACATATTGACTACAGAGAATAAATTATGGGATGATATAAAAAATGGCTTTGCACAGTGTACAGCTGCAGAAATCCAAAGATTTGCACTGTCTGCTACAGGGCTGTTGTCTCATGTTGAAGAGGGTCTGGATTCTGATGCAACTGATACCAGCTCTGATGATGATTTGGATGAATATACCATTAGAAAAAATGTGGCAGTGTAAGTGCAAAATTACTATTAGACCTTTTTCTGTTCCAAATATAACGGCAATTGTCTTTAAGATATGTTAAAAGGAAATAGATTTTTTGAAATCTTAATGCCATAGTCTTTAAGTTATAAACTTTGGTGAATTTTTAAAATGTTTTATTAAACTGTTGTGTGTGAATATACACACAAATACACACAATTTTAAAATAAATTACTAAACTGTTCTATCTAGGAAAAACCCATATAGGAATAATAAAACTAGTTAGCTATAAGTAAGCCTTTTTTTCTATTCTTGAATAGAATAGGCTATGGACAAGGCCTAAATATTTATTTAAGTGATCTAGTCAATATGTATAGATGAATCAAAAAATTTAAAGTCTGCACATAGGGAGCCCTTGTTGATTTGGGGAGTTTATCAGTTCAGAGTACCTGTAAATTGACCTGCTACTTTTTTTTTTTCTTAACTATTTATATACTCATTGTATTCATAGCTTCCAGCTTTGGCCTTTACCAACTCAGTCAATATTTTCTGAGTTAATATAACTAAGGCAAAACTATAAATGTCTGCTATAAGATACCTATTGAATGCTCATTATGTGCTAGACACTGTAGATTCAGTTGTGAGCAGCATATTCACAATCTCTGCTCTCTTGGGCATTTACTTGAGAGAGAGGTATCTTGATATTAAAAAAAAAAAGCAGAGAAAAATAATTTTAATTATTATACCATGATAACACTCCCGAACAGCTCTGTCCAATAGAAACTGACAAGATGCTGGAAGTGTTCTAAATCTATGCTATCCAATAGGCACTAAACTCATGCGGCTATGGAGCACTGGAAATTTGGCCAGTGTTACTGAGAAACTGAAATGTCAATTTTATTTAATTTTGTTTATAATTTAAATAGCCAGATAGAACGTAATTTTTAATCCTAGCTTTCAGGGAATCTGTTATTGTTCCCAAATTGATGTGAATTACTATGTGTATATATGGCATTTTGTGGGGAAGAAGTCTATCATTTTTTCAGATTCTCAAAAACGAATGAAAATTATTATAGAATTAGAAGCCAAACATTTTTACTAACAAATACAAGATCAGTATATTAATTTTTATAGAGAGAAATAAAACGTAAAGCCAAGTGAGCATTCTAGTTTTTTGGTAATTGAAGACTATAATTGAAGTTTGTTTGAATGTGGGAGTTATAACAGTTATTGAGCACAGATTATTTTTCTGGCTGGTATTGTGCTGGTTACTTTACATATGATATCTCATTAATTCTTTCAATAATCCTGGGAAGTAGTTATTGTTATTCTTATTTCACTTAGGAAGAAACAGACTCAGCGTGGTTTAGTAATGTTCCCATGGTCAAAAAGCCAAATAAGTGGTAGAGCCAGGATTTAGCCCATATATGTGTGGCTCTAAACCCATGGTGGTTCTCTTATAATATGCTACTTTCTCAACATTGTATCATTGATGCTTATAGCTACAAGAATTATTGGACACATGTGTTCTGAAAGTCCAGAAATTTATTAATTTTTATATTTATAATACTTTTGAAGTGTTTCAATTTAATAAAATTCAGTAGGTAAACTTAGTAAATTAAGTATGTACCTTTTTGTTGTTAAGAGCTAATAGACAGGTTTGTCTCTTTTAAGGTAGAAATAGAAATAAGAAAATTTTGTCTTTCCAGACTACTTTTTGACCAATGATGCTATTGTCATTAGTATCTCTTTCATTGATTTCCTACAGCATTTAGTTTGCATACCATCTGTCATTAAATCATATTTTTTCCTATACAGTTTGCTAATGTATCTTTTAGTCTTAACCCTGTCTTAAGGGTAGAAACTACATTTTATATTTTTTGTTAATCTCTTATAGACCAAGTACATCATTATTGATTGATCAGAACATTTTGTTTTAAGTTTTGCATTTACTCTTTGAGTTTAGTGAAAGAACACTAAGCTCAGACATTCGTATAAAACATACACAAATGGGGAAATTCAAACTACTGAAAAAACACTATGCCTTTCCATTTCTTGTTTTGTCAACTCTGCCAATTTATTGAGGTGAACTGAAGTAAAGTAGCCTGGAAAAAAATTGGGTTCTGGTTTGGAAAGTTTATTTCTCATACTCTCTTTATTTTTCCCATAATCAACTAGAGGGGTTTCAGGGACTCTAGACATACATTTTAGGAAAATAATGAGTCTAAGAAATTTAATATCAGTTCTTTAAGATATGCTTCAAGCCTCTTGCATTATTGACCTTTTAATATGACGCCTTGATTATTAAAGCCCGTGTCTATATTTCTAGAGGCCAAATAAACTTTGTTATAAGGTCAAACTCATCTGATCTATATAAATCAATAGTACTAAATTTATATAATAACTTTGAATTCTTTAATTCACTGAATTGATAATTGTTTTGGTTGGCTCAGTTTTGGGGTTTTTATTTTATTTGCTACTTAAAAACTGTTCAGCATTTCTTGATTTCACACATCTTCCCATACATTAGATATTAAATTTTGTTTCGAATATTTTTAGTAATATAATTTCTTGTGGGAAAGATTGCACCTCAACATTTTATTAATTTTGAAGTTGACTAAATTTTGAAAACAAATAGCACAACTTTAATTATTTGTATCTTTAGGTGTGAATATAAAAATGATTTCTGGTTTTTTAAGTTGGAATTAATCAGTTCTGTTTTAGGTTGTTAAATTTATTTTTAAATTTAAAACATTTATCCTGATAAGTTTACTTTCCTTCTGTTAAATTTATTTTTATTATTTTCTTCTCTATATCTGTGGAAACTTACTTTTTCAAGTCTAAATGAATATTTTTGATATATAAGCTTCAAAATTAAACTTTAAACCTAAATAGCAGGTAAAAAATACATTTTGTGTATCTAAATTTTTAAGTGAGTGCCAACACAATTAAATTTTCATGTTGAATATGAAGAGTTCTCAACTTATAAGCTCCAGAGTGACAAGTCCTAAAGTTGACTTCAACTTAATTTTAAGCAACATGAGGGCGAGTACTACTCTTTCTATCTTTGTATACTGAGAAACTAGTATTGTCTTCTGTTTAGTGGTTGCTTGGTATTTGAGTGAATGAATGATTATTTCTGTATTTGTACATGAAGTTGTAAAGATAAAAGAATTGGGGTTGACAATCTATGAAATTTCTGTATATATGGTTTTTCTTTTATTCTTGAGTTGCTTTATCTTTACTCGATGGTTTTTTTGCCTTCCTTCTTTTGTTTCTAATACCAAAATGGCCACAAGTGGTGTCTTGTGCATATTAGACCCTGGGTGAATGTGTGTTCAATGACTGAATGAACAAAATATGACAAAATATGGACATTTAAAAGTGATGATTTTATTATGATATTTAACACTTGTAATTTTTTAAATTGATAAGTAAAATATATATTTACCTTTAAAATCTTAGATTCTGTTATTAATATGCCTTCTATTTTTCTTAAGATTATAGCCCCAATAAGAAAAACAAATTTCATTTTGATCAGGAAATTAGCTGTGAATGAATATAATTGTTTTAGGAAATTGGAAAGTGCTCATATTAGCCATTACTATTTCCATTGTTGTTTTAAATATATATTTGACTTGCCCCTTTTATTTTCCCTCCAAAAATGTAGACAGTAGATTAATTCATCATGATATTACTGATAGACTTTAATAATAACTTTTGGTTGAGAGGCTCATGTACATTAGAAGTAAAAGAAAAAAAAAGGTTGGTTTACTTCAGAAGGGATAATGGGGGACTTTATGGTTTTTTGTAGGTTTGAAATATAGCCCTTATATGGTAATATGAATGGAATTTTTCTCCCAATGTTCTTTTCCTTTGGTGAAGGAGCCTAGGCTCTGGACATTCTTGTGTCACAATCATGGCTTGCTTTGTGACCCTAGGCAAGGTTACTCTTAACCATTCTGAATCAGATTCCTCATCTTTGATTCATAATAAAGAATTCTGGAGATAATTAGATGAAATATTAAATATAAAGTACCAGTACATAATAAAGCATTGATAAGGCAGCCAATAAAGGGCGCCTTATTAAGCAACTTAACTATTTTAGAAGACTGGAGTTTCATATTGCTGGGGGAAACTTGAAGAGCCAGTATAGAATACATGCTTCAATGTTAACCCATTCTAGAGGTGAGGATTGGGGGTATTTTTACACTAATTCCCATCAGTTATTGGTTGAAAGCTGCTACTGGTAGTGTTAATTCCCTGGCACTTCCCTTCTGCCACGTGGGTGGCAAAGTAAGCCCCAGCAATAACAAAAAGAAACCCTCTGTCAAAGAAATGCAGGCGCTGGCAGTTGGAAGTCAGGGTCCTGTGCACTGAACTGGTTAAATGTGAGGGGATGTGGGTGGGTCACTGACAAGAGTCTTCTACAATTATGCTCTCATGTGGTAGTAATGCTTTAGAATTCTAGCATTTCTTTTCTTTTTTCCTGGGGAATGATGATCAGGTACTTTTTTTCCAGGATGGCATGTTGGGGAAACTCAGAGATTTTGACAGAGGCATGTTTTAGTCTTCCAAGGTTGTAGAAAAGGATGAAACATAGTTTCTTGTCTTATTCCAGGAAGCCCACCAGTATCTTCCAATTAACACAATTGTTTCAAATGTTGGGAGAAAAAAATTCCCAACATTTCCCCAAATTTGTCCCCATATATTCATATTTTCTTTGAGTTTTTACTTAGGGACATAGATACGCAGGCTTGATAAGGACATTCTTTTCAACAGATTTAGTCATTCACCAAGAAATAAGGGACAATTGTTGATGTTTACTTAGAGCGGTTGGATGAATCTTTCCAGACTGAAAAAGAGAAAAGGCCAAAGTAATTTTTTGCAGACGCACAGATATGAATATTCATAGTTTTGTTCTTGCTTTCCTATTTTGCCAATGGAAAGGAAAAGAATTGAAGAGCTAGGTGATCTAATATTTCCTTTTGAGAAATTAGATAAATAAAAGTAGGAACTCAGTGTGAGATTC